TACCCGGAATCAAACTCAGGACCTTGCACTTGCTGTCTCCCCAGCCCTGTCACAGTTTTTAATAATGAATGGGTATTGGATTTTGTCAAAGGCTTTTTTTTGGTTTTTCTCTGGTACCAGGAACTGAACTCACGACCTTGCGCTTGCCAGGCAGGCGCTTTGCCGCTGAGCTAAATCCCCAGCCCTAGCTTTTTTAAAAAAATAAAGTGCAGACTAGCTAGGCATAGTATGTACTTCAATAATACAATAACTGGCAGTCTGAATATTGCAAGTTCAAGCCCCCAGTCTGAGCAACTTAGTGACTTAATAAGACCTTGTCTCAATTTTTAAAAAAATTTTTATAAGGTCTGGGGATGTAGCTCAGTGGGAAAGCCCTAGGTTCAGTCCCCAGTTCTAACAGAACAAAACCTCAAGAACGTTGAAATGTGTATGTATATAATTTTTCCCTCTCCCTTTAGAATATGTCAGAATGGCTTCCTAGAAAAATTCTGAGCCACAGACAGGAACATTGTTAATGCAGAGATGAATTGTTACTTCAAAACTATATCAAGTGTTGGCTGTAACATTCTGACAGCAGCCATGGTGCTGTGGAAGGTACCAATACATAGTTTTAATGCTAGGCTTTGGGACTACACATAGAAAAGTCAGCGATTCCACAAATGCCTTCCCATGGGCTCTACCAGAGGTTGGTTAACTTTCTTGAAAAAGTCAGATAGTAAACATTTTAGGTTTTGCATACCATATAGTGGCTATGGGACCTATTCATACGTGCCATGCAAACGTAGCTAAAGACTATATAATTAGCCAGCCATAGTGGTACATGCCTGGAATCCCAGAACTCAGGAGGCTGAGGTAGAAGGATCACTGCAAATTCAAAGCCAGCCTGTACTCTGTAGCAAGACCCAGTCTCAAAAAAAAAAAAAAAAAAAAAAAAAAAAAAAAAAAAAATAGAATGGTTGTGTCTGCATTCTGATAGAACTTATGGACACTGAAGTTTGAATTTTTCATAATTTCAGGTGCAATGAAATATTCGTTTGATTTTTTTCCAATTAAAAATGTAGGGATGGGATGTAATTCAGTGTTAGAACACTTGCTGGACCTCCATGAGGCCCTGGGTTCAACCCCCAGCACCACCAAAATAAAACAATCCATTTTTGACCCATGAGTTGTACAAAAACTGGCCATGGATTCGGTTTGGGCTATTGGTAGTTACTTATCAACCATCAGATTGTATAATAAGTGACTTGATAGTAGACATTTATTATATTGGAACCTTGATATACTGCAACAGTGGGGTGGATTTATCAAGAAAACTGAATTCAGCATGTATCAGATAATTACCTTATATTTTTTATTTCAGCTGGAGTTAACCGAATTTCATATTGGCCTGCTGATCCAGAAATAAGCTTGCTTACTGAAGGTTCTAGTTCTGAAGATGCAAAATTAGATGCCAAAGCAGTGGAAAGATTGAAGTCAAACAGCCGGGCCCATGTGTGTGTCTTACTCCAGCCTTTGGTGTGTGATATGGTGCAGTTTGTAGACGAGACTTCTTACAAATGTGACTTTATTCAAAAAATTACAAAAACAGTGCCAGATGCTAACATTGACTTTTATTCTGAATGTAAACAAGAAAGAATAAAAGAATATGAAATGGTATTTTTGGTTTCAAATGAAGAAATACATAAGCAAATATTGATGACTATAGGTCTGAAGAACCTGTGTGAAAATCCATACTTTATCAACTTAAGGGAAAACATGAAAGACCTTATCCTCCTTTTGGCCACAGTAGCCTCCAGTGTGCCCAACTTTAAACACTTCGGATTCTCCTGTAGCAATCCAGAACAAATTAATGAAATTCACAGTCAAAGTTTGCCACAAGAAATTGCAAGGCACTGCATGGTTCAGGCCAGGTTATTGGCATATCGAACTGGTGAGTTAAATGCTTAGTTCATAAATTGATTCTGATTGGTTGGGTTGTATTTGTCTCAGAAGTAAAGTGGTGTTTGTCTATGGTAGAATTCATTTAAAGTTTTGCTGCTCATACAATGTAGAGAAACTAGTAAGGCCTTGTGTAGGAAACATTCTTTGAGCAGTTTTGGCTTTCCTCGTGTCCTTGTATTCAGCACTACATTTATAATTCAGAGCCAAATTATCTAAGTCCTTTCTGGCTCTTGCATTTATGGGCTTCACTGTCCACTGAGCCTTCCACTAAAGATGGGACGAAAAGAAAAGTGAAAACTAAAGTCATTTTTAATTAACTCTTTAGTATCTTATGTGTCTTCAATAAAAACTTCTGGAAATTATAAAATTAATAATACAAATACAAAATAACTAAAGAATATCAAAGTAAATGCATGTAGAATATTGTCATTTCTTCCAATTACTGGTATGTCTCAGTAAGTTGAGAAATCAAATATTTTTATATATTGTATTAAGTAGTACATGTGGAATAGGAGAATATTACTTGAGATTATTCTTGTGTAAAAATATTGCATCTGTATTTCTAATTATGGAACAGTATTTTTACATCTTACTAGGTATAATTTTTTTCAAAGTAGAATCATAACACTTTTTAACATTTAACCTTGAGGTAAGTAGAAAAAATAGAGGTAGGAGAACAGTAGAGTAAGGTTGTTATCCCAAAAAAGAAAGAGGAAAATCAGAAAATCCTGATAAAGGTGCCCCTGGACTATAATGTAGTCTAAACAAACAGACAACAACAACAAAAACCCTCAAAGTTGGTAGGATGGAAGATCTCAACTGACAGCATATAAGAATCACCATGGAAACTTTAACAAAAAGATTCTCAGTTCCCCACCCAGAGCTATTTAAGCTGTGGTTTGGGCGTGTGTTTTTTTAAGAAGTCCTGCAAGGTATTATGACATTCAAGAGGATTGATAATCACTCAATTCTGTAAAGAGTTTGATTCTGTAAGTATGAACTATATGATCCCAAACAATTGTATATAAGTCTGATTTAATGAAAATTATTTTTATAATACTAGGGAGTGGATCAAGGGCTTTCACAATGAGCTATATCTCCAGCTTGCCTGCTTGCTTGCTTGCTTTTCTTTTCTTTCTTTCTCTCTTTCTCTCTTTCTCTTTCTCTCTTTCTCTCTTTCTCTCTTTCCATTTTAAGATAAGGTCTTGCTAAGTCACTAACTTGCCCAGGCTGGGTTAGAGTTTACAATCCCTCATCCTACACCTTCTACAGTGCTGGGCACCATGTCCTGCTCAAACATTTTTGTATCCTGGGTTGTACATTATTCTCTTCACTGATAGCAGCTTTGTAAAGAAGTTTTCTGTAAACCAGAAAAATGATCAGCTCTTACAGATATAATTCCATATTTCTCTTTGGTAATCAGAATTCAGCAGAGTTCTGCCTATGTTCCAGAGTAAGATGGGAGATGTGCATCTGCTGTTTCACTTGATCTCAGTAACTCTTGATTCTCATAGAACATCTCATCTTACCACCTGTGATTCAGTATGTAGATTGCAGTATGTATAGAGCTAAATATGCATATGTATGTCTTACTAGATCTACTACTACATAAATTTTGAATTATAAATTTATCCATTGTTACTGTGCAGAGTTTTGTACATAAAGCTATGCTTATGCACTTAATGGGCAATTGAAGAGATTTTCTCAAGGGTTCTTTTTTGACAATGGATGATTTTTTTTTGGTCTGGAACTCAAATCCTGAACAGGATACAAACTCAACTCTTTGCACTCTACTCTACCCTAAGCTCTTCTACGGAAGAAACCATCTCTTCCAAATCATCATTTTTTTTCTTTAGCACTAACCAGTGTGTGTGGTTTTTTTGGTTTTGTTTTGTCTTTTTGAGACAAGGTTTTGCTATGTAGTTCAGGCTGGCCTTGAACTCATTTTGTAGCTCAGGCTGGCCTCAAACTTGCAGCAATCCTTCTGCCTGAGCCTCCTGAGTGCTGGGATTACAGGTGTGTGCTATAATGCCCAGCTAATCGTGTGTGTTCAATGGAAATCTGTACCAAAAGACAAATGGTCCACAATTCTTAATCTAAAACCTGTGAGGCCAAAAGAAAAGGAATTCAGAATTTTTCAGATTTTAAGAAGGTAATATAATGCATATACTGGCTATGCAGTACTCCAGTGAAGTTTAGGACAATTCCTATGATCAAACAAATTAGAACTTATGGAGTAAAATGTGTATTTGTGCTAAGCAGAATGCTTAATAAATATACTTGTTTTCTTATTTTTTTTCTCCTTTTTGGTGGTGCTGGGGATCAAACACAAGGCCTTACACATTAGGCAAGTGCTCTACCACTGAGCTGCATTCCCAGCACCCCCACAATTTTAATGTTACCTGTATCATTTTCAAAATTCACTGTGTGAACTTGGATTTATTTTGGATTTCCAGTCTTTTCCTTTGATATTCTCTACTTTTGTGAACTTTTTGAAAGTATAACTCACTGGTTTTCAGTGTGACTAAGATTCAGGGGGGACTCTGAGAAATGCAGGTTCCTGAGCCTTTCTCAGGTTGAACTACAGGTTCCCCTGGGAACCAGGAGTTTGGCTTTTTAACAAGCCTCCAGCAGCTTTGATGCCCATGGTCTGAGCAAACACTGATGTGACTACAAGATGGGTTGCTAAAATAGCCCTGCCTGTGATCCAGAGCCATGGGCTGTGATTTTTAGTGACCAAAAGAGCCCAGGAATTGGCTTTGTAATCAGAAGTGACCATAAGGAAAATGACTTTTCTTTCAAAGTTTTACAGAGAAAACCCAATGAATAACCAGATTATGTGGCAATTTTTGCAAGAATTACAGATGTAAAAAGATTTTGAGAAATAATGTGTTATTTCTTGGGGCTAGGGTGAAATGTTCCATTTTATGTGAATAAAAATTTACCCTTATTTGAAGGGATAAGTGGTAGAGAATATTCTCTTGGCGTAGCTAACCTTTGCCGGGCAGTAGAGATGCCTGCTGATGCAAAAATCATATCCTGACAGGGTTTATCCTGTGCCCAGAAAAACAGGGAAAGTGGCTCCTGAGACTAAAACCATAATACAAAAAATATTTAGCATTGATGGAGGAAAAGTAGACTCAATATGAACAGTTTATATTCTAGTTTTTCATTTTTCCTTTCTGATTTATATACATATTGAGTACAACTTTACTAAGATTTTGGTTTTGTAGGCAAATATAATCTAATGTTTATAATTTCTGCCACTTGCCTTAGAAATTGAGCATAAAGCCACTGAGTTGTATTCTTTTCCCTGCATGTTAAATTCTAAAGGTCTGGGAGGGGCGAGGGATTTAGCTCAGCAGCACAGCACCTGCCTGGCAAGCCCGAGCTCGTGAGTTCGATTCCCTGTACCGGGGGAAAAAACCAAAAAAAAGGTCTGGGAAAGAACAAAACATTGTTTACACCAAAATCTCTTTCCCCTCCACACCACAGAAGGCAGTCATCATGTATACCCTGCTCCACAGTATCATGTTCAACTTCAGAGCGCATCTCACAAATAGTGTTTCCTTGCCACTGTCCTCCTGCACCACCCACCTGTGAGTTGCGTGAGGATGGGGACTGATGTCTCCCTCACCACCGACATGCAGCTTCTCACAATACTCGGCACACCTGGGGCACTCAGTGAATGCAAATTCTTATGGAATTCTTAATGTCAAAGGGAGAGGAGGAGGAAAGGCAAATAGGTGGGGCATGGGGGACTAAATCTTAATCAATTAATTTCTGTGTTTTCTTATCTAGAAATGAAAATTTTAGCTGCTTTATCTTTAGGTAAAAAAATTTATATAAATGCTTTGTAGTATAATAGCGAAAGTCTGGCCATGCTTGAACTGGCAATGGAAAATTTCCTTGTATCATCAGAACCTTTTTTTTTATCTTTTTGAAACAGGGTTCCACTATGCAGTTCAGACTGGCCTTAAACTCAGTTTGTAGCCCAGGCTGGACTTGAACTCATGGCAATCCTCCTGCCTCAGCCTCCCAAGTGTTGGGATTATAGCTATGCGCCACCATGCCTGGCAGAACTTTTTAAAAATAAACTTATTGATAGGTTTTTAATCCGAGTTTTTAATACAATAATGGCATAAACTTTCTTTGTACTTTTACTGGAAAAATTGGTGTTTACATATGTATCCTTTGAAGGATTAACCTTTAGGAAACTATAGAGGTAAAGGATAGTTTCACTTAATACTCATCAGTATGAAAATGCCCTAGGGTGAGTTCACAGGTGATCCTTCCTATCTTTATTTAAATAGTAGGAAAAGTAGATCTTTAATAGGTAGAATTTTTATTTATTTATTTTTATTTTAAAAATTTTCCGTTTCAGACTAATTGTTCTAAGAAGTGTAGTTTTCCTTGTTGCAAACGTGTTGGCTCTGCAGGAGAACTGTGATCTTATGTCCATAGCTTCTGCCACTCAGAAGTGAGCATGTAATGAGGCTAAGGCGGCATCTTTTCCCCTTCACAGTAAACTTGAAGGTCGTGGAAAGGGCAGCATTTTGTTTAAGTCAAAATTTCCTTCCTGTACCTTTCAGCAATAGACATGAGAGTTCATAACGTTTTATGTTTATATTAGAAGCTTGAACTTATTTCTTTGCAAGAACATTTTCATAAAATATATTTCTATGGTTGGAATGTAAGAAATGATAAATTTGTTTGTTATGAATGGTTATTGCACTAGTTCAGAAAGTTTTTAAAAATTCAGTTGCATCAGCTATTAGAAATAGTCACTTAGATGGCCAGGCATGGTGGCACACACTTATAATCCTAGTACTTGGGAGGCTGAGGCAGGAGGGTTGCTACAAGTTTGAGAACTTCATAGTGAGACTCTGTCTCAAAAACAAACAAAAACCAAAAATCCAAAACAGTCATTTAGCAACTGACATGCTAGTGGAAAATCAGTGACGTTGTACTCGGTTCTTTGTATTGATCTGACTGTAACCCCTGCTGTGTGAGCAGTCTTCACGTGTACATCATGAGTGACAGGGTGGGCAGTGACCCTGTCTACTTATCTGGTTCCTAACTCCCATATTCCATACTTACTTTTTTTCATATTCCATACTTCGAATTATTTAACACTTTCATGTAATGAATGAAGATATCAGGAATTGCTGCTACATTTAAAATATGTTACAATGAGTATGTTTTCTGTATTTTTGGGAAAAAATACTTCTAAAACTAACAGATCATTGATTTTTACTGAGTTCAATATCTTATTTTGCAGAGGATCATAAAACAGGAGTTGGAGCAGTCATTTGGGCAGAAGGGAAATCTGTAAGTATGAAAAGAATTCTTTAAACATTTAATCTGGATTTTGTTTAAACATAGTTCATTCTTCAGTGCTTTGCAATTTTTTGGTTTTTTTGAGATGAGGTTTTGCTGTGTTGCCCAGGCTGGGGTCCAGATAAGTACAGTCAAGAGCTATTCTGAGTGGGGTATGGTGGTGCACACCTGTAATCCCAGCACTCCGGAGGCTGAGGCGGGAGGATCATTGTGAGTTCAAGGCCAGGCTAGGCTACAAAGTGAGCTCAAGGCCAGCCTGAACTGCATAGCGAGACCTGTCTCAAAAAGACAAAAAGAAAAAAAAGGGATATCCTGAAGATGGTATCCACAGCACTTAATGACTGCTGTACCCTGTAGTATCAGGGAGTGAGATGGTGACGGCTGGTTTGGGAGCCGGTGATCCTCCTGTGTGAGCTGCCCAAGAAACTGGGACTGTAGGCTTATGCCCCCAGGCCTAGCCACATAGTACATTTTTTGAGCTGTTGAGATTAATGTTTTCGTATTGGTGCATTTATTAAATTCTATAGACATTTGCTCATTTCCTCAACAGTTTCTTAGATTCATCCATACAGCAAACAGTTATTAGGCACCTACAGGCACTGTGCCACAGTGAACATTAGAAATTTAAAGATCACATGTTCTGCCTTTCATGGCCTCATATCTTATGATAGAAAAGTAAAAAAGAGGCTCATCTGTAAGTGAGATTGTAATCGGTACTGTGAGAAGGAAGAAGAGGACCCCTGCTGTCCTTGGAGAAATGAGTGACATATTCTTGGAAGTGGTAGTGGGCTTCTAGTCTTGAAGAATGAGTATAGTTATCAGAGCAAGCTAGGAAATTAGGGTAACATTCTAAAGTAGAAGGTGAGAGAGAGAATGTGAGAAATTACAATGATGTCGCATGTTGGGGTCCAGAGTCCTATGTTGAGTAGAGTGGGCAAAAATTGTCCTGACCATGAGGGCTATATGAAGAGCATGGACTTCATCCTTTAGGCAGTGCCCTGCCACAGCACTAACCAGTAGAAGTTCAAGGCAAGCCACACATAGGATTTTAAATTTTCTAGGAGCCATACTGAAAGAAATAGGTGAAGCAGTATGTAACTGACTGAAATATGAGCCTAAATTTCAGTGGACTACTGAGCAAATAATTTGATGGTTTGTTTCAGTGTTTTATACATTCTTCAAATTCAACCTACCTAATAAATCAAGTGATTATTTTATACTAACCTGCTCCTTCAGAGGTCACATCTCACGCCCTGATACTACAGGGTACAGCAGTCCTCAGTGCTGTGGATACTGCCTTCAGAGTACCTCTTGACTCCCTTATCTGTACCCCAACTGTTAACTCCTACTAGAACCAGTTCCTTGGGCAGCAGTTCTGTACCAGCCGTCTGTGACACTCATCATAGTTAAAGCTGTGTCCGTCTCCAGACTCTTAACTGCTCCTGATAAAAAGTACATGAAGGCAGGGATTCTGGTTTACAGCTGCATTGCCAGCACCTCACACAAGTCTGGGCTCTGGTTGGATCTCTCATTTGTGCTTATGTGAATCTTAGCAGCCTTTTGGTTTAGGATCTGGTTCTCAACTTCGTGGAGAATTCAACACCAGGTGAGTGTGGTGCTGAACACCTGTGATCCCAGAACTTGGGAAGCTGAAGCAGGAGGATCGCCATAAGTTTGAGGCCAGCCTGGGCTACATAGTGAGTTCAAGACCACTTTAGACTACAAAGTGAGACTCTATATAACACAAAACAAAGTAAAAGAAGAACACAGCTGTAGAGAGGCTGGATGGTAAAATGGGAATAATATGGGATTTGAAGACAGCAACCTGCGCTTGAACTTGGCTATGTTACTTATTAGCTCTGTGATCTTGAACAAATTAATCTCTCTTGGCCTCAGTTTCCTTATCTATAAAATGGCGATAATAATAGTACTACTCTCTAGGTTGTTTCAATGATTGAATAAATGAAATAATGCATATGAACTTAGCATGATGTTTGACATTTAGTAAATGCTAAAGAGACGTTTATTAATGTAATAATATTTTATTTCCAAATTTTGTTGGCAAATTTCACAATTACACAATTTTGTACTTAACATAGTAAGTTTTTACAGTAATGAGTCTGTTAATATCAAACTGTTATAAATACTTTACATTTATAAAATACCATCCTAATAATTGATAAAGCATTCATATTAATAATGTCATTAATCAAGAGAAATAACAAAGAGCCACTGAAGTAAAAAGTTTTATGCATATAAATATATGGCTCAATAAGTATTGAAGAGTAAGGGGAAGTATGTATTTTCTGACAATCACAATAGCATGTCTTTAACCCAACAACAGAAATTATTCAAAACATTTTTACAATTTCTGACTTGTTAACTAGTAGCCCATCACCGAGTAAAAGAAATTCACAGTCACTTACTAAGTACATGCTATGCATATCAATCTAGCATGTGACTTAAAGGGATAGAAAAGAAGTATAAAATGTTGTTTCTATTCTCCAGGATTTTATAACCTATATGAAGAGAAATTAAGTAAGCCAATTTGTGAGTTAAGCAAGATAGAGGTTTTATTAACTGCTAAAACTAAAGGCAGCCTGGCAATTATAGAGTTGGTTAACTTTCTTAGAAATAACCTCTGACAAGGTATCTTACTTTTCTTGTTGCTGAGACAAAATACCCAATGTCCAAAGTTAAGGGAAGAAAGGTTTATTTAGTTCACAGTTTATAGAAGTTTCAGTCCATATTCAGCTGGGTCCAAGGTAGAGTGAATTGGCAGAGGGCCATTGTGGAGAAGAAACAGTACATGGCAGCAGAAGACAGCAAAAGCAACGAGAGAGAGAGAGAGAGAGAGAGAGAGAGAGAGAGAAGCCTCTTTATGTCCTTTATATTATGGGCAGGCTACCCACGCTAGGATGGGTATAGCACTCACATGCTTAATCCCAGCATTGGTGTATGAATCAGTCAGAAACTCTAGATTCATCCACCTCTGAAAAACCCACCCTGTCATGACTGCATGAGGCTTTAGGGGGAGAGCTAGACATAAACCATAACACAAGGCCATACTGCAGTAGAAGGATCTGATACTATATTTTTTGATGGCTCAGTTTGTCATAGGAGTGGAATGAATATTCATTATATGAAGTATGACAGCAAGCTTTAAAAATACATTGTACCTAGACATGGAGGCCACACCTATAATTCCAGGTACTTGGGAGGGTGAGTCAGGAGGATCACAAGTTTGAGATGAGCTTAAGTTTGAGAAGAAACAATTCAGTGAGACCCTGTTTCAAGATAGAAAAAAAAAAAAGGTATGGGGAAGCTAAGGATATAACTTGGTAGAGTACTTGCCTAGCATATGCAAGTCCATATTCACTCCTAGCACCACCCTCCCTGCTAAAAATTACAAAGTGCCTGTTGACACTAACCATAGTGGTCTGCTCACTTTTGTAGAGAAGTTGTGACGGAACCGGTGCTATGTACTTCATAGGATGTGGTTACAATGCCTTTCCTGTCGGATCTGAGTATGCTGACTTCCCTCACATGGACGACCAGCAGAAAGACAGAGAAATAAGGAAGTTCAGATACATTGTACATGCAGAACAGAATGCCTTGACATTTAGGTATGGTTTTTGCTTGTGTTTTCTTTAAAATGTAGCAATGCTTAGTCAAAATTAGTTTTCTTGTAATTGTAATTTATTTCCTTTTTTCAAATTCTAAGAAATACTGTTTTCAGAAATACAATTTTGGCCAAATTTGATCCTTCATGGGATCCGAGGCCATTGTCATAGATTCTCAGGCCATTTAACACATTGAGTAAGTCTTTTTATTTTTCTTTCTTCCCTCTCCAATACAAAACTACTGAAAGACTTTCCTTAGGGTCTTGCTCACTCTTACATACATTTGGAGGTTAATATTGCCTTCTTTTTCTAAACCTAGAGCACATGCATTTATGAATATCAGGTTTTATTATGAATCAAATTGCTTTAAAAGAGGTTTTATTAGAGGTTATAATTGGTATTACCTCCTACTAATATTAATTTAGGTCACTACTGCAAAGACCTCTCAGCATGTACCATTCAAGGGATGAGGTTAGGGGATTAAAAAACCAAGTAAGACATGGTTCCTGTCCTTGGGGCCTTTCTGATACAATAGGGACATAGACTGCATCCTCCTAACATGTAGCTTCTAAGGGAGAGGTGAGCACCATGTGCTGAGGACCTTCAGAGCTGCTGTGGCCAGGAGGGGTGGGCAATGCCAAGCAAAGCTATATGGAGAACTCGCGTTTGAGTTGAACTTTAAAGGATTACTGGCATTGTGGCAACTGGAAATGTTCCTTGAAAGGAAGACCATTTTTGCTTCTAACATAAGCTGTGGTCTAGAAGTAGGGAAATGTATTGTGTATTGGGAGTATGGGTATCCCAGTTAGCTGGAACGTGGACAGATGGTGAACACAGCTTACTGGACAGGCTAGGACTATACAGTAGAGGACTTTCATATAGATGCCATGTGGTTGGCAGTGGGGAAATGCAATCACACTGCCAAAGTCATGCTCATAGACTGTTTAGGTAGCACGTATATTGTTTGAACAGAGTAGATGTGTAAAATTCTGATGCCCTAGTCCAAATGGATAGAAATGAGATGTCAAATAAAGAGATGAGTATGGAAGGTGGAGAACTGAAAACAGTGGATGCAGAGCACAGAACCAGGAATTACAATCCCTGCATCCTCAAATAAGAGCATTCCTTAGTCCTGAACTGCAGCCAGCATGCAAAATTTCACAAAAAATCTCCTTTTATCCTTGTCCTCCTCATTGGAGGTTACCTTGCTTCATTTTGTACAGAAGTATGAGTATGTCACAAATGTTAAATCAAATTATTCTATAGGAGGGAAGGATAAGTAGAAATCAAAACATTTATCATTAATTTGCTAATTTAATAATCTTTAAATGTCCTGTAAGTACTGATTAGGGCTAGGCCTTTTGGCTGCAATGATTTGTTGTCCTAATCAGACATGGTTAGCTCCCAAGAAGTTTTAACCCCAGTTTTCCAGTATTATAGAGAAGTGTGTACTTACAAAGCATTGCCTCCCTCCACTCATGATTGAGTCCATAAGCATGCTAAGCAAGCAGTCTACCACAGAGCTACATCCCAGCCCTTTTAAAACATTTTTAAAAGTTTGAAACATAGTCCTGCTAATTGTCCACGTTGTCCTTAAATTTGTGATCCTCCTGCCTCAGCCTCCCAGGTAGGTGGGATTATAGACATGCAACATGATGCCAGACTTGTTGCTCCTTTTCCTCTCCCCTCCCCTCCCATCCCTTTTCCTTCCCCACTCTCCTCCTCTCTCTTTTCTTCCTCTGCTCTCCCTCTCTTCTCCCTCTCTGCCTCCCACTGTTGCCTCTTTCTTTGTTGGTGTTTACTTTGTTTCTGATACTGAACATAACTGCCATAACTGCCAGTGCTTTTGAATTAGTAAATGCATTTTAGTTATAATAATTGCCAGGTTTTTGCATATTTTGAAATTTACTAATTCAGCAAGAAAAGGCCTGATTATTATTTATATGTTAGAAATCTGTTTTTTAAAGAGCTTAAACTCTTCAGATTACTCTGAAAAGTAATTTACCCTTTCAGTAACTAACTTTGTAATATTTTATAAATTTTTATAGGTGTCAAGAAATAAAGCCAGAAGAAAGAAGCATGATTTTTGTGACCAAGTGCCCATGTGATGAATGTGTACCTTTAATTAAAGGTGCAGGCATAAAACAGATCTATGCAGGGGATGTAGATGTTGGCAAAAAGAAAGCAGACATCTCTTACATGAGGTTTGGTGATCTTGAAGGTGTTGGCAAGTTTACAGTGAGTAGATACACGTTTTTCTAAGCGTACTTCCTATTACGTTGTTTAGTACCCCGCCACATATTGTAAATTAGTGATTTCCACCCTTGTAAAGAATTTCAACAAATTATTATCATTGAATTTATTCGTATTTGCAAACAGTTACCTAACTAAACGTTCAGCTAAGGATCTCTGCCTTACATAGATCTATGCAGAGCTGTGCATCAGCTTTGCATATTTTGAGCCAGTGGTCCCTTTGGTGCTATCTGGTGGCTGATAAAAAACAAGCTCTGATCCACCAGTTTTTCCTTACTCTCCGTTCTGGCTTAGAGGATAGAGGCAAAAATAGTTTAAGATCATCCAAAATACGGGCAGACCCACACAGACATAGACACACACACACACACACACACACACACACACTTATGAGAAAAAACAGCCTAATATCAATCACCTTCAAAGTCTTAGAACATGGCAGTATGTATGCATCTTTATGCCAGAGTAGCACAAATGGCCTCTAGTCCAGTTTCTACTAAAGTCCTTCTTTCCTAACTGAAACCTTCTGAGCAAGGACTTTATTACAATCCTATCAGCATTCTAGTCTTCCAGCTTCTAGAATTCTAACCAGAGTCACTCATCAGACTCTGCTGATAGCCTTCTAGGGCTTCTTCAAACCTTTCCAAATTCCTCCTGCGACCGGTTCCACATTGTTAGGTACAGTCACAGCAATAACGCCATCTCTGGTACCAATTTTCTGTGTTTCCCCAGCAGTAAGACTCAGTACTCAACTCCCATAATTTAAAGAAGGAAAGATATAATTTGGCTCATGGTTTTAGGAGATTCAGTATATGGTCAGCTGGCAGAAACATCATGTTGGAAGGGTATAGCAGAACAAAGCTGCTTAATTTTTGGTGGCTAGTAAGCAGAGCGGGGAAGAAGTTCCTGAGAAAAAAGAAGAGGAACTGGATAGTTCTCCATGACCCACCCAGATACAACAAGAGTGTGCTCTGCTAATCCCCCGGGGAGCTCCTGAGGCAATCAAATTGATAATCCACCCTTTTTTCCTGTTCTTGTGATGAAGATTAGTTCTTTGGTCCCTTTTCTATCATCTGGTCTGGCTTGAATAATATATACAGTACATGGTTAGCTAAATGCCTTGTTTTATAAATATCAGTAATTAACCTGAATTGGTATTTGTTCTAACTAACATAAGAGTGTCAGTAAATTTGATACTTGTTTTTAATATTAAATTAAATTGGAGTTAATGTTGTTTGAAAAGTTTTTGCTTTGCTTTTTATTTGTAACTGTTGACCTTGAGATAAGTGGAACTGTCCTATCCTTGAGATAAGTTGTATTGTCAACAGGTAGTTTAGATTTGGGCAACACTGTTTTAAACACTAGGTTTTATCAGTGTATATCCATGTCCAATTATTTAAAAATATTTTAATATATGTGGGATTTTCTGTATTAGGGTATATTTTTTGAAATTGTGAACATAATTATGAACATTATGATTGTACAGTAGGAAAACAAAAAAGAATTCATATTATCCCATAACTCATAGATACCACTGTTAACATGTTGCTGTATTTCTGTGTTAAAAATTCCTCAAAAATTATTATCAGTAATTATACAATATCCCAGCCGTTAGACTTGACTTAACTTAACCATTTCCCTGAAACTGGATACGTAGATTGTTTCTAAGTTTTTAGTTAGAAAATGACTTTTCATGAATATTATTTTTTTCAGTTTTTATTTTTCATTAGTACATGTTTGCATTACATAATGATTACCTTCCTCGTGGGGAATTGGTATATGTACATAACATGTCTCAATTCTCTTTTCATTCCCTTTCTCTCCCTTCCCTCCATCTCTTTTTTAAAATCTTCATTAGTACATATTTGTCATACATAATGATCATATTATCATAAGGAATTTATACCTGTGCATAATGTCATAATTCTTTTTACCTCTCTTCAGCCATTCTTCCCCTCCCATTTTACAAAAGCTTTGTTTCTATTTTTCCCTTCCATTGTTCTTCTAAAATCTCTTTTCCCTTTCTTCCCTTTTTTCTCCACCTTCCTTTTGTTTTCCTTCCCATTTGCTTCCTACATTCTAGGATCTATCCATTGTTTTGCTCCTTTCTTACTCCTTGGGTTTCTTGCTCAAGAGAAACAATGGGATATGTAAACTTGTGTGTCTGATTTATTTCACTTAACATTATGGCCTCAAAGTATATCCATTTACCTGTAAATGACTCACATTTATCTTTCTTTAAGGCAGAGTATTACTCCATAGTATATAAATATCACATTTTCTTTGTTCACTTATCTGTTGATGGGCATATGGGCTGTTCCCAAGATTTAGCTGTTACAAATTATACTGCTATAAACATGGTGTCTTAGTTACTTTTCTTGTTGCTGGGACAAAATACCTAAAACCCAAAGTTAATGGGAAAAAAAAAGATTTATTTAGCTCACAGTTTGTGGAGGTTTCAGTCAGTAATCAGCTGGCTCCAAGGTAGGGTGGCACATGGTAGAGGGGTAACAGTTCGTGGCACCAGAATAAAGCAAAAGCAACAGAGAGAGAGAAAGAGACAAGCCTCATGCAGTCATAAAGTTTTTTCAGAGGTGGCTGAATCTAGAGTGTGTGATTGATTCTTAGTGCAACACTGGGATTAAGGATGGGTGATTACTGGATCAGTCCACTGATTTGATTGACACTACCCTAATCCTGGTAGACTGGGTACAATATAAGGAGGCTTTGGGGGAACATCTAGACACAAGCCATAACACATGGGTATGCATGTGTCCCTGTTGTATGATGCTTTTAACTCTTGGAAAGATACCTAGAAGGGGCACAGTTGGGTCAAATGGAACTTCTAGTTTTAGTTTGTTAAGGAATTTCCATACTGATTTTCATAGTGATTGTATCAGTTTTCACTCCCACCAACAGTGGAGAAGGGCTCCTTTTCCCCCACAACCTCTCCAGCATTTGTTATTGGTTGATTTCTTGATGGATATTCTCAAATGTAAAGTCAGAATCATTTGTTTTTATTTTCTTTGTCCAAATTAATAGATTTCGGTGGTGCAACATGTTTCAAAACACACAATACCTTTTTTTTAAAAGAAAAAATTTCTTATATAACTTCCCACCCTTTGTAAGTCTTTTCTTGGTACTAATCTTAGCCATACCATTTCTAAAAGTGGCCAAAATCTAAGGACTTTTCATGCATGGTAAAATGTTCATCTTGTTATCTCACTCCACCTCAAGATGTTAACTAGTTGATCTGATGAAATAATTGATGTATATGGAAGAGACTCACAGCTTATTATTACTTAATTGTGTCTTTCTGGAGACCGTGTTCCACTGAAGCCTTTTTGTGAAGGCATTAGTGATTCTGATGAAGATTTTATCCAGGCAAGAAAGGAAGGAAAAGCTGTACTAGGGATACTGAGGACCCCCCCAGCCAGCTGCAGTCTTTTTTGTTCAGACTCCCCTGTTTCTTTCTGAGTGTTTGAGTTGGAATATTTTAACTATTAGAAATGTATGACATAGGATATGATAAATAACATTATACAAAGTCATATGGCATAAATTAGTGTTCTATAGTTTTATTAAATAGCAATTAACATTAGTTGTATTTTTATTCTTTAATACCAAGGCCTTCTTTAGCTATTACAAAATTTGATAGAACCTAGAAATTGGCTATAATGTTTTAAAAATTGCATGCTACTAGGCATAGGCAAGCCCACGTTCTAAATCCATCCCTGCCTTTTGTGGAACCTGGAACAGATCACTGAAGTTCTCTAAATCCATTTTCTAGACCATGAAATGAATGTGAAGAATCATTAAGGTCCCTTTCTTCTCTGAGAGGAGTATTGATTTTGATCCCAAAAGCCATCCCATTCAGGATGGCATTCTTACAGCATTGTTGATATAGACATGCCAACACCATTTGCTTATATTTTTAAAAGATGTTTTGATATTTAAAGGCAAAATGCTGAAATGCTATTCATGAAATCCTTTAAAAATACATAAATAAAATACTTGTACCCTCTTACAGTGGCAGCTGAATCCCTCTGAAGTTTATGGCTTGGGAAAAAATGAGCCTGAAAGGAGAGACAGTAAGTATTTACAAGCCGCAATGGAGATTAACTTTGTTGCTGAGAAAAATAGATACACAGTGAAGTTTAAAGATCAGATGATAAGAATTGTTGTGTTAATAGATGGGGCATATTCTCGTTATGGATTAGATTTGTTCCCATTTGTGAATGTTTGTGTATCTACTATATGCAAGGTACTATGAAAAGTGCTGACTAATAATTAATCCTGTTGGATCTGCCATTTAATCCAAATAATCATGTATGAATTGAATTTATAAGTAAAATTTTTTATGAAACAGTAAACAACAATAGTCTTCTATGCAAAAACAAAAGTGTTTTGAGTATGAGAAAAATAGATACTTGTAGAATAAAGCCACATATGGCTAGATTCATCAGAGAATGGAAATATTATGGGTATTTTAGTCATCTAAGAATAGTCACAGCTTCCATAATTGCTAGTTTTCACAGTTTTATTATTTGCCCATTAACATCACTTTTGAATGTAATGTAATCTTTGGGAGACCTTATAATTCTTTAAGCCCATAATTTTGAACATGAGTGCTATCCAACACTATTTTAAAATAATAGCTTAGCCAAGCATGATACCACACTCATGGAATCCTAGATCTCTGGGAGGCTGAGGCAGGAGGAATTCAAGTTTAAATCCAGGCTGGGTTGATGAGACCCTGTCTCAAAATTTAAAAATACAAAAAAGACTGGGAATGTAGCTTAGTGTGAAGGTCGTTTTTTAAAAAAGTATCTGTACTACAACTCTTTGGATTCTAGGTAAGTGGTAGTGTACTATAAATTTTCTTGATGACGATTTGATTACTCTAAAAAATCAAATATTAAGGTCTCTATAAGAATACCAATGTCTTAATTTACTATGTTCTGAATTAGCTTTATTCAAATAGTAAATTTATTGTTTGTAATCTTGAAAAATGTATGTAAACTGCATTTTCTTTTTAAACTTTTATCAAGAGAAAAAAATAGGAAAATATATGAATCCAACTAAATAACTTCTGTTCAATGAGAATTTTGAGGGAGTCAGTTATTCAGATGGCTAGAGAAAGGATATAGAAAGCAGTAATCATAAAAGTGAATTACGGGGCTGGGGATTTAGCTCAGCGGCAAAAGCGCCTGCCTGGCAAGCGCAAGGTCGTGAGTTCAGTTCCTGGTACCGGAGAAAAACCAAAAAAAAATTTAAAAATAAAAAAATAAAAGTGAATTACTGTATCTGTGTTAAAAATAAGAACACTCGTTCATCAAAAGATACTATGAAGAGAGAGCAAAGGCAAACTGTGGACTAGAAAATATTCATCATTTACAACCATGAAGGGCTTATGTCCAAGATTATCATCCCTAGATCCCAAAGGAGAGAGAAAGCGTGTGGTGGGGCAAGTCCTGAGACTGGAAGGGGGACAGAGGACAGCCTCTGGCTCACTGGCAGTGTTTTGTTTATTGATCCATATGGTGGCTCAGTATATGTTTACTGTGTGACTGTTCATTAAATGACTTTAAGTTTCTATGTATTTTTCAGCAAGTATTTTATGTCAGTAAGGAACATCCTTAAGTCCCTTTCAATTATATAATAGTTTTATTGGGATGTAACTCATATATCTTAAATTCATCCTTTTAAAGTGTAGAATTCATTGGCTTTTAGCATATTCAGAGTTGTGTAACCATCACTGTCATCTAATTTCAGAACATTCCCTTGTCCTCAAAGAAACGCATCTGCAGTCACGCCCCATTCTCCCCTACCTCAACCTAGGCAACCACAAATTTACTTCATGTTTTTATGGATTTGTCTAGTCTGGCAATGTCATAGAAACGGAATCATACAATATATGATTCCTTTCTAGTCTTTATTCTGTTAGGAAATAGAAGAATGAAACAGACACAAGTTGAAACCCTAGCTTTATTGCTGAGGTTTGACCTTTGGCCAAATCAATCTGTCTGGAGACAGGGTACCAGGCTTCAGGCCCTCTCAGTGCCAGTTCGAGGAGCAGAAGTAGAAGGGAGGCGGCAGTGTGAGTGACTGCTCCCAAGTGTCTTTCTGCTCTGTAGAACTGGAATCCAAATAAACCATAATGAGGATTCTTTAAAAAAAAAATCACCGAGCTTTCAAGAAAACAAGAGAAATATCCAGACACTCATTCATACCCCCCCAAGTGAGATAAGAGAAACATTTACTAGAATCTGAATGGCAACTGTAAGAAAGCACAAAAGCCAGAGTAAACATAGGCACAAAAGTCCATATAAGTTGGGATTTTGAGCAGAAATATGGAGTCCGTTGCAAGGTGCTGAACTGAGCCTGAGACTCCTGTGTAAGCTGGGGGTCCTTAAAGGAAGCTACAAGGCTCCCATGGAGGCACAGCTCATGACAGAAGCAAGTTAGATTCTCTCAGAAGGAAAGTGACTCAACTAAGGCCCATGCGGTACAAGAGGATACAAATTCATAGTTGAAAACTGGACAAAGTGGGAGAAATGTACCCCTGAGGGAGAGTGAACAGACAGCAAACAGCATAGACAGACTCCAAGGACTTTCTGCTCTGGAGTTAACAAGTAGGTTATAGAAAATGTTAATAAGCAAAAGATGCTATTTTAAAAATGAGCAAGAAATTAGCTACTATTTACAAATGACCAGGCAGTTTTGAACAGAATCTGATAGAATTAAAAGTAAAAAATATTGTTATTAAAATAAAAAGTCACTGGGAAAGTTAAGCAACTGTTTATTAATGGGTACACTGTTAGTATTTTGATCTAACTCTTTAATGTGGTGTGCTGTCCCATCAGTTATGAGTTAGCATCCTGACAGAGAGGGCCATTTGCATCACAGGGGCAAAAGTAGGCTATTTAAATTATAGTCATGGTGTGCTTGCTTCAGCAACACATGCACTAAAATATTAAAATATAGTCGTGGAAATGGTTTATCCATGTAGAAAAAATGATGATGAATTCTGACCTCACATAATACTAAAACATCAGTCCCTCATGAATTAAACATAAGTGGAAAAGCTAAAATTTTTCAAATTTTAGAAGACAGAATATCTTTACAATCTATAGGAAAAGAATAACTTATACAGAACACAAATAATACTGGCTATAAAAGAAAAGATTAAGAAACTGATATACATTCCAGTTAAGGACTTGTCTTCACCAAAGACATTATAAAGAAAGTGAAAAGACCAGTCATCCACTGGAAGAATAGATTTTTCATACATAACAGTGCACTGGTTTCCAGAACATGTAAGGAAGTCCTACAGATTTATAAGAAAAGAATTAATAAAGAATGGCAGTTTTTGGTATTTCACAACAACCAAAATACAAGCGTCTGATAAATACATAAAAAGATGATCACACTCAGTAATGGGAGAGAAATGCAAATTAAGGTCACATTGAAGCAGCATATTATACCCATTACATTTACACAGTATGTGAGTTTGGTTTCTTCCAGCCTAATAATGACTCTCCACTGCTCAAAATGTTGTGGGAATTATTTGCCATACACTGCTGAGTGAGGGTCATCAGATACCTGATTACTTGAGAGTTATCTAGAATCAGTATTGATTAAAAAAATATTTGAGTATGGAATATTGAAATGGTTGATAATTTGAAGATAAAATAAAATGAATGTTCCTTTACTTAAGCATTACTTTGCCTTTCCAACCTTTATGGCTGAAATTAGCTCCTTGTGCTGGAAGTGGCGCTCCCTGACGTGAGGTTATTCTTGCACTCTAGACGATGTGTTGAGAGCCACGCCTGTGAGTGAGGAGCAGCACCGCAGCAAGAAGCTGCACCTGGAAAAGCACGCGGAGGGCCTGTCCATGCTGCAGTGACAGCCCGGGAACTGTTACTGTGCTCCCGCAATGCAGCCTCGTGAGCCCAGAGAATAACGAAAGATTCTGTGAATCACTGAAAGGTTTTTTAGGATATGTTATTGAGAATATTTTAACTTTAGATTCATTTATGTATTTTCTAGAGTATGGCAGTGTATTCCTTTATTATACTAAACGAGACAGCAGTAATAAGGAGACCAAGCTACTTACCAGCAAGTGCAGATTTCTGTTGATCTTGAACTTACACAAAAGTTTTAAAAGGGCTTGCTTCACTGGAGGTCACACTTGAAGATGGAATTATACATCTTTTGAGAAGTATTAATTCCTTTGGATTACAAGGGTGACAACTAGTACACTGCTCCAGGAAGCAAATGACAATCTGGTCATCTTTTAAGAGTCCATGTATAGCTAACCAAAAGATCACATTTTTATCCAGATCTTCTTAATAATCAGAATTTACTTAATTAGGACTGACTCATAAAGCTGGTGGACCTGGTCTCCATTTTAGTAGTATATTTTTTCAAATGTTAATCTCTTGGGCTGGGGGTGTAAATCAATAGAATGCTTGCCCAGTATGTACAAATCCTGGGTTCAAGTCCCAACACTGCAAAAATAAAATAAAATAAAATAAAATGTCAATTTCTCTTAAATATTTCAGTGTATAGATTCACAAAGATTTGTTGGACGAGGACCCAATTATGTCACTGATTTTTGTTAGCAGTAGGAAGAGAATATTACTCTGAAGCAGTATTGCTATTTGAAACCAGTGACACTTGAGATCACTAACAATGATCTTCAAAGCTGGTCATGATGTCAACAGGGAAGAAATATTTCAGTGTGGAAATAAACAGTTTTAGGATTTCATTAATAAATCTTCCTCTCATTAATTTTCCCTTCCCTATTATTAACATGGCTTTGACCTTTAAAAAGGAAGGCCTTTTAAGGACCTTTGTATACCTCAAGAATAGTGAAAGTCTTCAGAGTAAACAGATTCAAATTGCTCTTTGTAATTTCTCTCATTTTGATTTGCTGAGGTACTTGCAGAAAATTAGTCCAAAGATGAACGTGAATTCTGTACTTTCCCAGGGTTACGGAGGGAGGCCCACAGACCTGGGGAGTGACGTGTCATGAGAAACAGCTCCCCCGGCTCTGTAGAGGTATTTTGTCTTTTCTTTTATCCGCTTTCCACAGCATCACATGGCCTCAAGGGACCCGCTGCCAGTTTTTCAAAATTACATACAGGGCTATCCAAAGGCTGACCAGATGTCCTGGGTTGCGCAGCAGCCTGCTTCTGTCCACTGGGGTTTCAAAGTCATCATATACCACACAGCTGAGAACTGCCATAAACATTTACACAGATTTGGGCATGGATAGGGGAGGCATGGGGGTGGGGTGAGTGCAGGAGAAGTACCTGTAGAGATAATTAATGTCAATTTGAAAATCACTAGTTAAGCTCTATGTTTTTTTTATCAACATAAACCTTCCAAGATGGTTTATTTCCCAAATTGCTTTATTGATACATGCTTAAGTTCTTGGATTCATTGTTTTTACTAATATTTCATCTGTGTCAAATATCTTATAAATTAATGAGCAAATATTTTGTAAGACTCAGAATCCTGATATATACCACCAGATTTGTGGATTTTGCATTGGGTGTTGGGATGGGATATAATAAGGGAGAAGCATACAATTACTATGGTTAGAAAATGAAAGGTTGATATTTCATAGTATTATTAAAATCATGTTAATGACACTTTTCTTCTGTACAACTTGTTTAATAAATTTTACCATGTAGCACCAGAAGAACAGCTCTCTGCATGGAGATTTTATGTATACAGTGCAGTCTATACAAAGTACTCATTTAACTGCCTACAGTGCTGCCTCGGTTCACAAACCCAGCCTTCACCTCAGTTCTGGTCGAAAACTGAACTGGATGAGAGCGGAATTAAATTTTATCATAAGGTCAACATTGAACCTAACCACTGAATTTGATTTGGTTCTTGTCCAACTCAGTTTACAACTGAATCATGCAAAGAATCGAGTTCATGAACTGCGTACCACTGTAATCCCAGTGCCTGGCACATAATAAGCGCTCAGTATACGTTAATTGATTCACACCCACTAAGCCCTGGGGATGAGCTGTGTAAGAAATGCCCCCAACCTCAAGACATTCGGTCCAGTGGAGGATACAAGTATAGTAATAAAGAGAAATGACTACGAGCATGGTGCCTGCCTCTGCAGCATCAGCATCAGTGGAGACTTGTTAGATTTGTACATTTTCCGGACCCACCCCAGACCCATTGAATCCAAACCTCTGGATCCCTCCGGCAAGCTGCGTTTTCATGCGCCCGCAGGGGATTTTGGTGATCTTCAAGTCTCATGTAACTGTAGGAACAGTGGTGGCACAAGAGGACTTTGAACACTCTGGGGATTCATAGAAAAGTCCTTGTAGAAGCAGAAGTGCTGAAGTGGGTCCAGAAGAGGGTGTTAGAGTCTGCCAAGCAAATAGCTGGAATGCAGTGAACCGAAAAAGCTGAGGAAACAGAAGACCACCCTGCAGGTGGGCCAGGAAAGTTGCTGGGTAGCACACCGTCGCTGTGGAGCCCAGAGCCCAGCTGGGCTTGCAGAAGCTATGTGTAGCGGTGTGGACTCAGGTCTGCACATTTCTAGTCAAAAAGGCTTCATCCCTTGGCTGGAGAAATCAACATGTGCATTTCCACAAAAAACAATTCCTCCCTTAATTTCCAAGGTGAGGACAATGATGGCAAATTCATAATTTGTAAAGAATAGCTCTACAGGAGGGGGCTACACACTTGCCCGGTTTATTCCATGTCTGTCATGCTGAGTCAACATGGATTTATGTGTTTTTATTGTTAAAAAAAAAAAACTGAAACTTTTTTGATAAATCTGACTTTCTGTGTTTTTCTTCCTCAACATACTGAGTTTGAGAATATACCTTTCACTCATAAGCCTTCCTCTTTTTATGCATAAACAGTTTGCCTTTGGGTCAGCCACAGCCATCTGCTTTTGACATAATTTGGAGCAAGTAGCATTGAATACCAGTTCTAAGAGTCCTGGTTTTCCAATAGTGCCCACCTGGCATTGAGCTGTGATGGTTACTGCTGTATTTTAGGACTAAGCATCAGTTAGGAGTTTCATTTCATGTGTAACATGACTGAAGCCTTGTGATCTTTTTGCTGTTATTTAAAATTACAAAGTATTGTGAGGCATGATGGCCACACCTATAAACCCAGCACTCAGGAGACAGAGGCAGGAGAATTACAGTGAGTAGAGGCCATCCTGGGCCATAGTGAGTTCAAGACCCTTTCTCAAAAACCTAAGCAAACAAACAAAAATAAAATGAGAAAGCATTGCAGACATATAAAAAGGCACCTAAAGTGCAGAATTAATGTACGTTACCACTCGGTAACGTACATTTGAGATCTGAGGTGGAGCCTTATTCTGCATCTTTTCTGCATTTGCTCCCAAGGACACTTCCTGGATTTCTGAAAGGACGTCCGTGCTCACTGCAGGGCCACAGAGTCGCAGCCTAGCCCTGGACCCTGGGGGACCATTCCCGAGAGAGCTGCCATTATGCCTCCTCCTAGGAGATTCTTTCAAGCCAGTTTATTCTTATTCATAACCTTTTTGTCTCCCAAATTCGTCTCTCATGATAATCTGTGATGACTTTCATAAGAGGCAAACATAACCAGTTGCTGTAACATGGGACAGCCTAGTTCTGGTTGGCAGGGGAGGTTTATTGGGCTGGGGGTTCTGAGGGATTACTGACTGCCTGACAGGCCTCCAGCCAGCTGCATTTGACCGGCTGCAGAAACTGATACAGGAAGTGTCCTCACCTTGAGTTTGGGAGTCCGCTTTGCCACCTGAGAAGATTCTGAGTGGGACAACCAAAATTGCCCCAGTTGAAAGCCATTATGAGTATTTAACTTAAAAAAAAAAACATAGGGACCATCTTAGTAGAACTGTGGCACCAACAGTTTTTATGGTCAGGTATCAAAATTTGAAGATGATATTTTAAAAAGCCTTTTAAAAATTAGGTTTATCCCTGGCATGGTGGCACATGTCAGCTATTCCAGAGGCTGAGGCAGGTAAATTCAAAGTTCAAGGCTAGCTTGGGTAACCCAGTAAGACCCTGTCTCAAAATTTACAAAAAAAAAATAAAAAAGGTTGCACATATAGTTCAGTGATAGAGCACTTACCTAATAAGTGTGACATCCTAGATTTGATTCCAGCACTGCAAAAGTATTTTTTAAAACTGAAAATGATTTTTAAAATATTGATGCTGCTTGATTTAGACCCTTGTAACATTTTGAACTAGTATTTTTAGTGTGCAGCATTATCAGGGAAAAATAGTGAGAAGACATTGGAAACTCAGAAGAGCTAGTAAGACCATTAGTTATTGAAGAAACCATTTCACCTTGCTGAACTCAGACTGTCTCCAGCAACATAAAAAACAATGTGCCAAATAGACGACCTCTAAACTCCTTTGAAATCTGAGTCTATTTAAATGCAATTTGTTGAGCTTAGTGAATATATTTTTATAGACTGCTTCTTAAATTATGCATTGGACGTACATTTTTGTTGTACTGTTTGCAGTCCTGGGGACATCTCAGCAGCTGTCCTCTAAACGCAGTAATCAGCCAGACTCAGCTCTGACACCCCAGCAAAAGCCGGGCGTGGTGGCACACACCTGTAATCCCAGGACTCAGAAGGCTGAAGCAGGAGGATCGCTGTGAATTCAAGCTCAGCCTGGGCTACAAAGTGAGTTCAAGGCCAGTCTGAACTGCATAGCGAGACCCTGTCTCAGAAAGACAACAAACAGACAAAAACACCCCAGCAGTGAAGAAATTGCCACTCATAATGCCACACTGGCACTGTCCTTGTTAAAATATTACCTTTATGGAATAGTTCCCACCCACCCCCGCACGCCCTCATTTCCATCATTGGTCCTTGGACGGTGACACAGACCTCTTTGTGTCTCATCCTGTACTACATAAATGGCCTTCATAGCTGAAAGTAGCCACTGTGTCCTGCTGCCTCATGACAACCTCCCACCCCCCTAAAAATTACTGTCATTGTCCACAGGTTTGTGTGTGATGGGAAAACACTTGTACGTTACCTCATTGAGGATCATCACCTCCACCTTTACAGATAAGAGGATGGAATGTCAGGTTATGTCTTACCCAAAACTACCCTGGTAGTCATTGCAAAGCCAGGAAATGAACATACTTCTCTAAATTTATAATCTTTACAATATTCATCAACCCAGTGTCTCTGCGTTCTTTGGTCCCATCTACTACTATGCTTGTCTCCTGTGGTGGAGCACTGATGGCATGATTTTTCACCTTTCTGTAGTTACATCCTTCACCAACTGGCTTTGCAGGGTGTGCTTCCCATCGAGAGGCAGCGTATATTTCCCCACCTTGGACTTTGGCTTCCATAGAATAAGACAGAAATGTCCTTGTTCCCGTTCTGACATCGAGCCTCAAGGAGCATTTGTGTTTCTGCTGATTTGGTTGTTTCTGTCACCATCAAACACCAGCACAGAGCCACCCGCAGCCGGGCCAGCCTGATTAGGTGTCCAATGGCCAAGCCACAGAGCTGTGAGGAAAAAAATCCTTGGTTTCAGAGGACTGGTTACTCACTCAGCGTTTGGTTAGTGATTGTGATGGTTGATTGATGGTGTCAACTTGAATAAAATTTGGCTCAGCAGTGCCACACCCTAGGGGCCTGGATGGTGTAAAGGGGAAACGAGGAAGGACAGATCTACTTCTGTCTCTTCAGAGGAGCTCCACTCCTCGCCTCCACCTTGGACATCGTCTCCTGGCTTCCAGTGCAGACTCTTCAGCTTCCGGCACAGACCCGTGGCCCTCCTGACATGGACTCGCACGGTGCACTGCAGGGAGCTTCAGACTCTTGACTGGATCCTTCGGGCTTGAGTGTGCAGACACCCGCTGCACGCTTCCTTGCCTGACTCCGTGGGTGGCCATCATAAGCCAATCTTGCAAATTCTTATACATTTGTACATCTTGTGTCATACCTTTTTCTCTAGTAAACACTGACTGGCCCATTTCTGCAGCTTTCAAGAGTCTTCCTTTAAGCCACTGTGCCTTTGTTAGTTGAAAGCCTGCGTTGCATTCTCCCTGCAGTCTCCGTAACCTCATCTTACCTTATTCCACAGTAACAAGGTTGTTTTCTCACCCTCCCGGGGTGCTCCAGCCCCTAAGGGCCTCCTTCCTCCCTAGCCTCCTTCCCTTGCTTCCCTCAGAAGGGACTTTCTGTCCTATGACCTGGAGGCACCACAGCGCAGCGTGGGGGGTAGGGGCGACCGTTTAAGTAGGGGAGGACTGGAACCGGAAGAGGCAGTACTGGGCGCCCTGCAGTAATCCAGGCTGGAGGTGATGTGGCCCACGGGACATGCGTGTCACCAGGAGCCTTGTGAGAGCACCAGGCCTCTACTTAACGACTTGGTTTTGTTTAGTTTTTGTTTTGCGCTGGGGCTTGAACCCAGGGCTTCCTCTTGTGAGGAAGGAGTCCTCTACCCGTGAGCCGGGCTCCCATCGCGAGCGTGCGCTTGTTCTTTTTGTCTTTGTGCTCAGTTTTGATCAGTGAATTATTTCTGTCCAAACCAAATCTGGATCACAGTGACGGAAGAGGCCCCGCCAAAATATAGTAAAGACCATTATTTACTTAAGCCACTAGAGGACGACATATCCTAGAAATGGATGCTTAGAAGGGAAACTAGAATGAGCATTGTTGGATTCTAGGGCTTTGGAAATTCAGTGGGGGCGATGGGAAGCATAGGACAGGAGAGTGGGCCACACCGGGGAGCAGCAGATGGCTGTGTGTAGGTAGCAGAGAGAGGAGGAGTTTGGCAGGGAGAGTGAAGTCACGAGGGGCTGGCGGCCACTCCGCATGACGCAGTCATGTCTGTACCTTGGAACTGCCACTGCAGCACCAGTGTGGACAGCCCGTCAGTACAGAGTGGAGGGAGCGAGAGGGGCATTGGGCGGCTGGTGGCTGGTTCAAAATGAGAAATGACGAGGGTGTCATTTTAAAGGAATACAGAGGGACAGAAGCACGTGGATGTTCCACGCGGAAAGAAGGTGGAGTCTCAGAGGACCGCAAGGGGGCGCCCCGGGCGGAGAGCGCCCCGCGGCAGGCCGGGGAGGCGGGCTGCAGCGCGGTAAGGGAAGACGCGGTGAAGCTGGGATTCGCGCACAGCGTCACTCATTCATTCAAAGCTACCCGTGGCGTTTACTGCACCGCAGCACAGGGACAGGTCCTGGCGTGTGTTTGTAGCAGGAACACCAATATCAAAGCAAATGGAAGACTTTGCACGGAGGAGTGAGAAGGCAACTTTTATTACACTAGCGGGCTGGCGAACCCTGAGGTTCAATCACCAGCCCAGAGTCAGGTTTGAGTTCAGTTTAAATATGGTTTGCGAATGGGAAGTACAAAGCGGACAGCAGGTTTACACGGCTGGTTACATGGAATACAGGAATTACGTCATATATCGTGAGGCAGGTTTGCACATGCACATTCTGGGAGGGAGCGCGTCTGAGAAGAGCAGGTAGAGTTGAAAGTGCCCTGGACTGGGCCAGTCTTCCCCAACATGATGACCTTGAAGCTCTTGAAGCAAGTTGGAATCACTGTATTTTTAAAACACAAACCAGACCCAGTCAGTTTGACCCACACATTGTTAAGGAGGAACCTCTGGGCCAGACGGTCAAGGCGAGCTACGTGACAGGGAGCGTGAGCATAGCCGCAGGCTGTGAATTGATTTCTAGCTTTTGTCCTAGTATGCCTACAAGGCTGCTGTTCGGCAAGTGTGCCCTAACATCTCTGTGAAGAAAACACCGCCCCCCACACGCTGAGATTTGCA